CTTTGATAAAATTCCTAGTCGCTGTTGTGGATGGATGTGTGACTGATTTAGTGGATTCAAAGTGCATAATCATTGATGAGGTAAGTATTGCTTTGTAACGTGTTTAGTGTAGGTAAAGGCTAGCAAAATTTTTAAAACGATGTAAAAAACTGGATAAATGTACTTTTGTCAGACTTTTCTTCACAGTTCAAAGAATGCAATGCTTAATGTCATACACTGATAGCGTTGCACTAGCAAAAAACTTTTGGAGTTGATGAAGGGAATCAACGTAAAAGAAGCGGGATTGGGCTCGTGATAACGCAACTTTGAAGTAGGGTTAATCTTTTTCGTAGCTCACGAGATCCTGATGTTATGCAAAAGCAACCGCTTATCTACTAATAGCTTTGTGTACCATTTTTGAAAATTAGAAATTTCGAAATTTTTGGAGGAAGAAGCCGAAAAAAGGAATGTTTCATTGTGAAGGTCTAATCTGAACTTAGTTTTCCACTTCAAAAAACTTTCCTAATGTACGAGAATCATATTTGAACTCAGCGTAATTCCGAACGAAGAAATTGTTTCCACTGGAGCTACTTTGTGCAAATGACTCTCCTTGCACTGCGCTGAATCCACTCACAACTTTTTTTTACCGTAATTCCACCGTAGTGGAAGATACAAGACCTACTGGATGGAAATCTAGATTTAAGCAAGTCCTTCAAAAAGAGTCTGTAAGGCCTAGGAATGCTAAAATAACAGTAGTGTTTAAACAGCAAGCACATCTTTTTAGTAAATCTTGTATGTAGCAGCACAATTGTTGCCTTTTTGAGTATAGCCACTTTGCAAGCGTTTATTACTGTATTTCTAGGAGATGGAAACTCTTCGACCATCACCATTTGGTCGAATTGCAAGTATATACTACCTACGTCATGAGTCTGTAAGATTCCTAGTTGAAGAGCTTGGTCCTGAAGATTCTATAGAGGACTTGTTGAAGACTTTATCGGTAAAGACATCTTCGCCTTAAATAGTAATTCAAGAATGATTGTAACCATTTAGCATGTCCCAGAATACGATGAGATACCGGTTCGACATAATGAGGATGTTACAAATACGTGAGTTTGGGAAAAAGATTGGATAGTTTGAAACCTTGGATTAGTGTTTTGTTTCAAGGCAATTGCAACGAAAGCTACGAATTCGATTTGCAACTAGTGTTATGGACTCTTCGCATACCAAGGCTCATCTTTTGTTCCAGGTATGAATTATTATCTTATTTTTGGAAAATTTCCGCATGAAGATGGAATAGGATGAAGTTATATCAGGGATCGTCGTTTTAGATTTTTGAGAACTTTATGTTCAAGAGTTCAATCCGATGTTCAAAATAGTTCCAGTTTAATAGTCCATATTCATCTTATAAGCAATGTCGTATTTCAGGATTTAACATTTTGTAAAGTACTTAATTCTTTTTCAGGCTCACTTTTCTCGTATTGACATCCCTACTGATTATCGCACCGATCTTAAAAGCGTACTCGATCAGTGCGTACGAATTCTGCAGGTTTCTCAGGCATTCTCTCTTTTTTTTTCCTTCGCAGCTCTCTTTGTATAGGCTCTAGCCTATTCAGCAATTTTCAGTCCAATTCCTATATTTTCAGGCAATGCGCGATATTTGCCAATTAAACGGGTGGCTTTCTACGATATTGCGAATAACGATATTGCAACAAATGTGCCATAGTGGACGATGGCATGACGATCACCCTTTGCTTTGTCTGCCTCAACTTAAAAGTTACGATGCAGAGAGAATTGGGTGAGTTCGCGTCTTGTTTGATATAAGCAGTTGAAAGTGTTCTTTGAATTGTTTCTGCATCTCTGTTTTCCTGATTTGAACGGCAGAAAAAGAAATTACATTTCAAGAAGAAAATATGATTATTTCTTGAAAATTAAACAATATCAAATGTTTTTTGATCATCATCTGATCATTTATCTTGTTGTTCAAAATTATCTTGCATTTTAAGAGATCGAGTTACCATTCCGCTGATGCAAGAACAGTTTGGCGTAGAAAAAGCTTCTGGAAGTGATATGGTGGAGAAACAAGCAAAGAACATTTTGCTTGAGAGCACAACACTGGAAGAATTGGAGATAAGAGAGGTGGTCAAAGTTGTCCTGATTAGTTTCTTAATTTTCAAAAATCTTGTTGCCTTGACAGAGCTGTATTTTTGAAGCGTTGATCCCTCCATAAATCTGACTTTTTTCTAGCAGATCTTACTTCAGGTGATTCGAGCTTTGTGTAGATGGCCTATACTATCCA